AATGACAAATTGTATAAGCACCTTTAGGGAGGCAAGAGGGTGTTCTGGGCCTAGCAGACTCCAATGAAAGGCAGCCAAGTCTTCATCTGGCAGAATGTGGTTACCTGTTTTTTTTTGAAGACCCACATTTAGAACCAAACAATGTATGGAGAAAACGCAAGTCACGTCCTGGACTAAAAACCTGTGGCGTCACTTACCAAGAAGAGCAGCAAAGATGGGCAGGTGCTGGGTCTTGAGGCCGAGCTGGCGAGCCGCCTCTGATAGCAGGTACTGGTGAGTGGTCAGATTCTTGCCATTCCAGGAGAGCTTGAGAGCGTGGGAGCTGAAATAGGCTGGAACGTTGCATAGCGCAAACTCTGAGTCCTGTGCAATCAGACCCTGAAAACCATAGTCTCTGTACAGGGATAGCACCTCCTGATGGTGGTCCTCCAGGGTCTGCACCACCTACAACATAAGCAGGGTGGAAGGAGACCATGTATTCTTGTGATCTACTGATAAACAAGCTCCTATTGCTCTGAATTTCTGATCAAACAGCACTTTGACCATCCAGCTTAAAGGTGCACTCTATTAGCCTACTTTTTTGGCTGATGTGGCAGTCATCTTGGGTTTATACTAACACATTAGTGTTGTCAAATTATACATTTTTTGATACATATTGATTCTGAATATTTGAAACAATTGCAATACTCATTTTATGCAGCACTGATACACTGGTTCCAGCTCTGACATCAAGGTGACACAAACAGCAGTGTGTATTTTAATTAAATAAATATATAGTTTGTTGCATGTTTCAAAGTGAGGTGCATCACTGTGTTCTTACACACGAACGACTCTGTTCAAAGTAAACGCAGCAAACTCCATCTCTGTGCAATGAATTTAACATTTACTTTGTAACACGATGGACACTGCCAGGTACGCAGTTTTTTTCACATCTGCATAGTTTCCAACAATTTTGTCGACAGATAATCACAGCATTTCACACAAATTTCTAATGAGAAGCATATGTAAACCTGTGGTCACAGATACTTTAATTCATATACTGTTTAAGAAATGTTAAATTTTTTTTACTTTACAGTGCAGTTGTATTACTACTCGTAATGTAATTTTCTTAGAAATAGTAAAACTAATAATGTTATTGATATATAACCTTACTCAGAGCTTTCGGGCCTGATGTATCTAGGACATCAGAGTTTCAGTTGATAAGAAAACACTTTGAATGTTGTGGGAAAGAGTTGTAGCAATTTTTCCATGTAGTGTCAAAAATTATGTTGAATATCAATATTTTTCTAGTTGCTGTATCAAAGTTATAAATTCCAGTATTGTGACAACCTTATAACACACATTAGCTAGAAATCTAAAATTGTCTGTCAGCTGTGATTAACTTATTCCTCAAGCAAAAGTGTCGGAGGGTGAATCAATGAGCAATTGACTAGTCATGTGATCATAACATGGCAGCCTTCATGAGGAGACCCACTCCATGTAAAATAAAACAGCTTTTTTATTATTTTGACTGGAGTCTCACCTGTACATTATTGTAAACATTTTCAAAATATTAATCACTGCATTACATGTAAAACTTTAATGAGGGAAGAGTGCACCTTTAAAATGACAGTTTAATGAACATGGATGATTTTGAAGATTATTTTACTTGCTTTGCCAACACTTTTACAATGAAACTGGCAATGCATTGCAGCACAAATTGGCTAAAACTCTCTACATTGAAATGTAAAAAAGTAAGAAAGCTGCTAAAAGGACATGGCAATCCACAATTCCTCTCGAGGGGGGCATCAGGCCACTCACCCGCACGCGGAATCGGAACATGGCGAGGCGGACACAGTGGCTCAGGCAGGCCGGGGGCAGGAACCAGGCCCGCGGAGGGGGCGTCGCCTTGCTTCCGACGTGGTTGACGATGAGCTGTGCGGTTTGTCGCTGCCCCTGCGCCCGCCGCGCCCACTCCGGCCAGCGATCCTTCCCAAGCGTGCCGTTAAAAATCACCACCAGCTCCAGTCCGCCTTGGTACAGACAGGCCTGGGAGAGCGCCGCCAGATAGCCGAGCATTGCATTCCACTCGCCTCCACAAACCCAGTCGGTCTGGTAGCCCCCGTAGAGCCGCTGAAGGCCAGAGTCTGCGTCAACCAGAATGCGCGCTGGCGGGGGAGGCGGAGGCAGCGAGCTGGGATGATGGGGATGGTGGTAGTGGTGATGATGATGGTGGTGGTGGTGTGGGGGCTGACGGCCTGCGGTTCGCGCGAGCTTGAGAAGATCTACTGGAACTGCCGCCCCAGGGCAGCGTTTCTCCAAATACTCCTGAAACCCTTGCACGCCCATATTGTGTTGGGGATGGATGGATCTTGTTAAGAAGTTGAATTCTAGGTTGTGTGCTCAGAACTAGATCTGCCCGCTTGTAGTTGGATAACTAAAGAGCTGAAATGTCTGATAAAATATCCCACAAATGCAAGTGCCGACCGACCCCCTGTAAAATTCCAGATACACGTGGCTATTTTTTACGTTTGGTCGTGTTAGTGCAATCTGTGTCCATTCCTTACTGTGTCAATAGTATAATCCCGCTAGTCTCTCTGTTTTGATGAATTACAATGTTGCACGGTCTACAACGTACCGATGGAGGATAACGGCGCGCACGCTACAGTTATGTCGACAATGTTGGTAACATCAAAATATAATCCTATTTGTAACCTTTCTACCTGCAAACTAAACAACAACTACGCCGTTGCTATCCAACATGACCGTTAGGTGATTCAAACAAACTCTAGCTGCTAGTGAATACAGTATGTCCTGTGATGGTTAACAGTTATAAGAGCTACAGTTTGTGGCTAACAAACTAGCTCGCGCAGTTAGCCAAGATCCCGGCGTGATTGACGCGTCAACTAGTCGAGACAAATCGGGGGCTGCCACGATTCGGAATGAGATGAATAATTAAGGGAAAAAATAAAGTAAAACAACTAAAATAAAACAAAAACAAAAGCCCGACGTAAGCTCCCTCGCTCTCTGTCTCACTCACGACTTCATGTTGATGAGAGGAACATACTTTCATGCGACGTCAGCCATCTTGCGACTTCCCCGCGGACCGATAGAAAGCGGGAGGGCAGGCGAGCTGAGGAAAGTGGGAGGAGCGATGGGCCTGGTGCCTGGGGGATGTAGTTTTTTCTGACTGAAAAGGTATCTGGATTAGAGTAAAAGACTACAACTACCAGTACAGTAAAGTAGTGATGGTAGAAACGAAGCTTTTCGAACCATTGAATCAATTGAACCAATTGCTTCGAAAAATTATTCAATGTTTCGAAGCACTTGAAACAGCACATGCTAGCGACACCTGCTGGTGAAAACGTTTGAACTAAATTAAATTAGTTAATGAATAAATTGATTTATGTAATTATTTAATTAGTTGTTTTCATTAGAGCTGTCTATAAAAACCAGCAGGCAAGAATAGAGTTTATCAGTCAGGAGAAGGAGATGGATTTAATTTTATCGTAAGCTCATTTTGTTATTTTTAAGGTATGATGTGATTTGTAGGTTGAAAGTACTGAATGTCATTTTTTAAACTATATAGCCATCTGTGTTAAAGGGAATTTATCTTTTTTTAACCCACAACATCTGGCCCTGAATTCTTTGTTTTTTATAGTAAAATTTTTTAAACTATATAGCCATCTGTGTTAAAGGGAAGTTATCTTTTTTTAACCCACAACATCTGGCCCTGAATTCTTTGTTTTTTATAGTAAAATTTTTGTGGGATTTCATGTCACATGATTAACTGGGCAACCAGAAGTGGTTCATGGGTCAGCTATGGCAAATATCAGCTGCTTTGTTTATAAAACCGTACATTAAAGCTGAGATACAGTCTGAACGATGATGACAACAATAATGTACAATCACTAGACTAGTGATCATCAAATCCTTTTAACAGTTTATTTTACAAACTTTGTTTTAAAGTTTTCTCTTTTTTCACAAAACCTTTTGCTCTCTTGAAACCATGTCAGTTTCGGTTGAAAATATTTTAAGTTCAAGTGTTAGCATTATAAACACTGAATTAATACCAACATATGAAATTAATGACAGAAAAATTGGCAATGTTTGACAATAAATATATAACAGGAATATAACAGCTTGACAGTAAACTGTTTGTGCAATATTGTCTTATATTAATGTCCGTTAAAGGAAGACTGTAAATTAAAAAATATATGTGTGTGTGTGTGTGTGTGTGTGTGTGTGTTTGTGTGTAAAAAAAAAACACACACGTACAGCCACTTTCTCCAAAATTGTTTCATTATTTAATTATGACAGAGACACAGCAATGCATCATGTTCTAATCTAGATCATCATGTTAGTGTGTTCCAGGGGATTAAAACGTACAATATATATTTCAGACATAGTGGAGTAATAGTAAATAATAATATAGTAAGTAATTGTAAATGTGTAAAGTTGCATAAGCTCATTACTTAGTGCCATATCCATATAAATCATTATTATGGTTTCAATGGTTAGGACCTGCAGTTCCTAAAAGGATTTAAGTTTACTACTAGACTAAAAACAGTTAAAGTTAGCAGGTGCATAAAACAGCGCTACGTCCCACTTCAAAACACAATATTTTTACACTTTTGTGAATAATTACCTGTCAGGGTCTTTGAGAAAACGATGAAAGGCAAGATTTTTTACTGTCACACTGATAGTTTTTGCAGTGGATTGCCCAACATTGCGTTCTTTTATTCCACTTTGACCTCTCTTTCGTTGTTATTCTGTCTGTGTCTGTGTAACTGGTGTTGTTCAGTTGGAATTTCACTCCAAAATGGCGGCCGCGCTACCGAAGCGCCACCTAGTGGCTGTTCCCAAAAACCATCAGAGTTTCGCCTCTTGGGCTGCAGCGAGGACCTCTTGCACCGGTCCTCCAGGACTGAGTTTGGACACCCCTGCTATATAGTATCATATTTGAGAGAACTTGGCATCAAAACATTTTTTTTCTCAACAAAAAAAGATACACATAAACGACACTAGAGCGCGCCAAAGTAAAAGTGTTTGGTTATAAAAGTTAATTCCTGAGTTTTGTGTCAGCTGATTGTGAAACAGCGCCGCGGGTTCAAACAGAGCGCACGGCGGCATTTATTTGGGTTTGTTTGCTGATGCTGGAGCCGCAAGCTTAACTCAATCTAAAATGTCCATAGCAGCGAGATCAGCGCTCGTCCTCTTCTCAACGCGTCTGCAGCCATGGACCGGACTAAAGATCTCCGCAAACAATGTAAGCCTCCGCTTCAAATATCAGTCAACAAATGTCAAGTGCATTTAGTTTACCGTGTGCAGAATATAGAAACAGATATTTAGATACAGAGGACCTCAGATGATGCCAACCATGAAACAACATACAGAACTACCAAATTTTGCTATAAGTTTGATTGCATCATATAATAATTGCTGTTAATAGTGTTTATCGTCTGTTTGATTACGTCTTTAATTGATTTTTCCGTACATTTCTGCCATATGTACATTAACTGACAGTCACCACTGATAAGCTACTACTAAATATTGTAGAAACCTAATTTGCTGTAAAGTTGCTTTGCAACGAGTTGTATCGTGAAAAGCGCTATACAAATAAACTTGAATTGAATTGAATATTTGTACAGTCAGGTCGGGGAAAAGTGCCCTTACTTGCACTCGCTGTGTGACAAGGTCACTGACTACTTACAGGTGCTACAGGTGTCATCAATGCGTTTATTGAGATATTTTTGACTTTTTTTTTCATGTTATGTTTCAAATTATAAAGCAGTTTGGAATGAGTTATTTTATGAAGGACCAGCTAAAATGAACACTGCTTATTACATTTTTCTTTTCTCTGTGATCTAATATTGACAGCTGACAAGCCCTGCAGTGTGTTGCCAGAAGAAGTCGTCTTCATGTACTGTAAGTTTGGGCTGAAGTCTTGATTTATGAAAATGTTTTTCACCCTATTGCTCTACATTTGATGGTTTACTTAATGAAAACTAATTACAGCATGACTAATCTTTTCCTGCAGCCCTTTACTGTCACCTCACTCCCTCTCCCTATTCATCTGAAATTACTTTAATTTAGGGCCTGTAATATACTTTGGGTAACATCTTCATTGTAGTTAAAATAATATCTTAATTAAATTAAGCACTTAAATGCATCTCCACTGTTCCTCCAATGTTCTGCTTCTCTCCTGTGCTTGTAAGCTGATTTGTGTAAGCATAACCAAAGCAGAATGGATTTGACTCTCCTCTGACTAACCACTTCTGTTTACTTCCTCTGATTCATCAACCCACCACGACCAGACTATTGTGAGTACTGGTTCTGCAAACTATAGATTTGTAATTTCTGGGCTTGATGTTTCGATACATCAACATACAATGAATATAGCAACAGTAAACATATTTACAAAGTTGCTTCCAGGTGTTCGGTTCAGAGTTTCGCTAGAATATAAAACACTAGTTTTGTATTTTGATGCATTAATCTCAACATGGCAATTTAATAGCAGTGACAGCTGAATAAAAATATTTCTTGTACCTGAGATTTGACTTCATATTGTGAGCTTGACCTTTGCCCTTCTTTTGTCAATGGTCTGTTTTGCATCTTTACCCATCAGCCTCCTCCTGCTAAATATGGAGGCAGACACACAGTGACTTTGATCCCTGGTGATGGTATTGGACCAGAACTGCTGAACCACGTCAGAGAGCTTTTCAGGTTTGAAGATGAAGCTCGCTATAAACAGACTTCACAGAAAACACTAAAGATGACCTCTTATATTTTTGTCATTCAATAATATTCACAGATTCTGCTGTGTTCCAGTGGATTTTGAGGTTGTCAGGGTGGATTCGTCTGCTTCCTCTGAGGATGACATCAATAATGCGGTTACTGCAATCAAACGTAATGGAGTAGCACTTAAGGGTGAGCATGAACAAATAGTTCATCAACCACAGAAAGGTTTGCTGCATATTAGGTGTATAAATGTATTGGTGCCATATCAGTTATCGGTTGACATTGGATATTTAATTGTTCATTTCCTCTAATTTTACATTTAGATTACCTTTGTCATCATATAACGAAGTCACTTAAAGTTAAACTTTAAAAGCACTAATAATTTAATAATACTGTTAAATCTTTAGCTAATCTCAAAATGAATATAAATTTAAATCATGTATGTTATCCCAAAAATTCACTGTATTATATTTAATGTATTTAGACAAAATGGGATAGTTTTAATATCGCCACTTAACTTATCGGCCATAACATACATAGTTCAGCCAAAAATGAAAATTTGCTGAATATTTACTTGTCCTCAGGTCATCCGAGATTAATTTGTTTCTTCATCGGAACAGATTTGGGAAATTTAAAATTAAATCACTTGCTCACCAATGGATCCTCTGCAGTGAATGGGTGCCGTCAGAATGAGAGTCCAAACAGCTGATAAAAACATTACAATAATTCACACCGCTCCAGTCCATCAGTTAATGTCTTTTGAAGTGAAAAGCTGCGTGTCTGTATTAAACAAATCCATCATCAAGGTATTGTAACCAACCATTACTTCTGGCGGAAATGTCATCTCGTCTGAATCAGGAGAGAAATATGCACAGATCAAGCTCCGTTTACAAGCAAAAACAATACAAAACAGTTCTAAACAAATATATCGCTTGATTTTGATGTGAGAGGACAACAGGGCATAGACTTACTCACTTGAGGAAGCATTATTATGAATTATGGACTTGTATTTTGGCCAGAAGTGACGGTTTAAAGTTAAAATGCCTTAGTGATGGATTTGTTTCTAATACATCGTCTACATCTTGAATAGCCTGAGGGTGAGTAAAGTTTCATCAAGTTTTCATTTTTGGGTGAACTATTCCATTAAACTGCAGTGTATAAATCAAGATTCTTTTACAGGTAACATAGAGACTAATCACAACCTTCCTCCATCTCATAAATCCAGGAACAATGTGCTTCGGTAAGACATCTTGGATTTGTTTTTTCTTTACTTGATTATCTGTGGTAAATCCAGAGGGTTAATTTATATGACTGGCTTATAAAACGGATAGTTCCGTTCCTTGATTCTGATTGGTTGAGCCAAGTTCGAAGCTGTTGTTAATTACTCTACAAACATACACCTTTGTTTATTAATACACTTTATTTGCTCTGTTTCATTTTGTGAAACCTTACTACGTATATGGAATAACCCTTTTATAAAAGCAATAAGACTCCACTTCGCGTTGTGCCTAACAATGCCCCTTAGCTGTTATAAATTCACTGTAAACCACGGCTTCACGGGCTTATTGCTTTATTTAACTCTCTGACAGCACATCTTTAGACCTGTATGCTAATGTCATGCACTGTCAGTCTCTTCCTGGAGTCCCGACCCGTCACAAAGACATTGATGTGATCATCATTAGGGAGAATACAGAAGGAGAGTACAGCAGCTTGGAGCATGAGGTCCGTGTGTTTGGGTCTCTTTTAGTTTAAGGACACCAATTACACTCATTCCTCAAGTTTAAATCTCCTCTCTTCCAGAATGTTCACGGGGTGGTGGAGAGTCTGAAGATCATAACACGTGTGAATTCATTGCGGATCGCTGAGTATGCCTTTAACTTGGCCAGAGAGAAAGGCCGCCGCAAGGTCACGGCAGTACATAAAGCTAATATCATGTGAGAGTCCTTACTTACTTAAGGCACAATATGTAATTTTTCGCCGCTAGATGGCGCGTATTCAAAATAAACAAATAGACAAAGGCGTAGTTTGATGACGCTGTGACTGAGTGTGGAATCATGGGAGTTGTCGTCTTCATCCCCACAGCCTATGCAATACGACGGGACGTGGGCAGAAATCATGTTCATGGCTGAGCTAATGATTTATTAACGTAGTAGAATGAAGCTGGGTGATGCTGAAAGCTGTCGAAGCGAAACGAGGCCGCTGAACGAGCGTGACACACGGCTGGAAAGCAGCGGAGCTTTTATTATGCCACAGTCGACCGCTTCCACTCCTTCCGGTCGTGCGTATGTGGGGGGAAAAATAGCAGCGCTGTTTTATCATACTAGATACATTTGAAAGTTCTGTTATAATGCTACTCTGTGCAGTCGTCACCGGTCTATTAAACCCCACAAAATATTAAAGCGTGTGGTGTTTCCATGTTTTCTACAAAACAAAACTGGAAATCGAGGGGTTATGACGTCATTGGCAGGCGGCACTATAGACACGCTCTGTGTCACTAGTTAAAATTGCTTATTTCTCTGGATTTAAACATTCTTCGAAACATTTGGGATAATGTAAGTACACAAGTCAGCAAAATATATAACACTGTTCTAGTGGTTTTTGGATATTTTAATTAAAAAAAACGTACATATTGTGCCTTTAACTCTGCTTTACTTTCAGCCAAATCACCAGACAAAAACACGTTTGCATATCTTGCATCTTGCTGAAATATTGGTTTCCTGTGGTACAGGTTCAAATTAGTTTAGGATTGTTTTCCTTTGCTTCATAAGAAACTTGGCGATGGCCTTTTCTTGCAGTGCTGTAAAGAGGTGGCGGCTGGATATCCTGATATCAAATTTGATAAAATTATCGTGGACAACACCACCATGCAGGTAGATGAATGGTGAACTACATAAGTACATGATACACTACAGTCCAAAAGTTTGGGGTCAGTAAGATTTAAAAAAAAATAAACTAATACTTTTATACAGCAAAGATGCATTAAACTGTTCGAAACTGACAGTTAAGACATGTATACTGTTACAAAAGGGTTCTATTTCAAAGAAATGCTCTCTTGACCTATCTATTTGTTAAGAATCCTGAGAAAATTTATTTCAGTTTCCACAAAAATATTACGTAGCACTACTGTTTTAACATTGAATATAATAAGAAATGTTTCTTGAGCAGCAAATTAGCATATTAGAATGATTTCTGAAGGAACATGTGACACTAGAGACTGGAGTAATGATGCTGAAAATTCAGCTTTGCGCCAAAGGAATAAATTGCATTTGAAAATGCATTAAAAAAAATATTGAAAAACTTTTCGACCTAAAATATTTGAATGGTAGTGCATTTTATTGTATTTTTTGGGTTCTATGTATTACATGATATAATAAATAGTTTATCTATTAATTTATTTTGGGTTTGTTTGTGTAGGGACAGTATAATCATAATTAAAACTAAAAAAGATGCACTTTATATAGAGATTACAGCATAATTTGCGTCTTATGTCCCTAAAATGCTTTTAAAAAATAAAAAAAGCTACACATAATTACACTATTAGACAATATATAGAATATAATAACAGTACTTTTAGTAACACTTTACTTGAAGCCTTTATATATAATGCATTCTAAATTACTTTTAATGCATTAATTATGCCTTGTATATAGCACCTTATAATGTATTACAAGATCTCATAAATATTGTAACAAGTAATATAAAAAGTAACGCATTTGTAACAAGTAATCTGCAAATATTAAAATGTTTTTTTTTTTAACTTTGGTTAATATTATTTATGAAAAGATATAATGCATTTCAATGCGCATTATACCTTTACAATGCATAATAACAAGGCTTCAAGTGAAGTCTTTCTTTCTTTCTTTCTTTCTTTCTTTATGTCCCCTAAGGGCAATTGGTTTTACAGCAAGACCAGCATACAAAAAAGACAATTTACAATACATTAAAAATTACATTAAAAATTACATTAAAAAAAACACAGGACAACACAAGACCAAACAACTACCTGCTTCCACCTACTCCCCACCTGCCCGCATTTAGCAAAGAGATAGAAGTAGGAATAAATGAATGTTTGTACCTGTTACTCCTAACAGAAGGAAATCTTAACCGAGATCCTGAGGGTAAAAACTGAAACTCAAGAGTAGAGAGGATGGGAAGTAACCATTAAGATAGATTGGGCTTTTCTAAGTACCTGGCGATTATATAGGTCGGTAGGATGACTCTGCTGAACTCCTAAAATCTTACTGCTAGTGTTAACTATTTTCACCAATGCAGTCTTTGCCTTCACACTAAGACTGCCATACCAGCATAACATAGCAAATGTTAAAACAGACTCAATATAAGATTTGTAAAACAGAGTCATCAGGGATCTATCAA